GCCAATGGCATACAGCAAATTAAAGAAATTCTACTTTATGACATCAAATTTAAGAAGCATTCCTAAAACGAGAGAGAGAGAGAGAGAGAGAGAGAGAGAGAGAGAGAGAGAGAGAGAGAGAGAGATATTAGAAAAGAAAAAGTTGAAATGTATCCAAAACAAATAAAAGAAAGAGAGGCTGGAGAAGGACCCAAGAGTTTTCTGGGAACGGGGAAGTCAAGTGGCCAAAACCAAATATTCCTGGCTCTGGTAAAAACTTACTCTGTTCATTTACCCGGATGCCCCAAACAAAAGCAACTACCCGTGTCTCCATTTCAGTTTCCTGAATCTAGCTGGATCACCGACTGGCATCCATTGTCCCTGGCTCACAGAACAATGTCCAACAGCATAAATCCATCCGTTCTGGTATACTTCCAAAGAGTTAGAAAAGAACACAAGACTGTCTGCCCACACCCACTCACTGAGCACTGTGTGGCCATCATGGGCAGAGCTGCAGATAGGAGGAGGCAGCTAGTACCTCTGACACAGGCCCTCTCGAAGGTCCAGAAACACACTGCACAGCCCGTCGATATACTGAGCTTGATGCTGGGTTTGTACCTGTGCCTCCTAACATCTGACACTGCTTAGCAGACTCTGCAGTCACAAGGTGGCTCTTAAAGGCCTTCCAGGACACTAACAAAAATGTAAAATGCAGAGACCAAAGCCATTAACTGTGGGGAGCTGAGCTGTGTTTCTAGATCCCAGCAGCCAGGAGCATCAGTCCCTTGCATCTTTGGGCACGCCTCGGAGGATGGCAGCTGCTAACTTAGGGGGGGAAAAGTGCATAGTGGAGGAGGTAAGAGGATTATTTTTAAGAAAGAGCACAATCTAAGTTTTCTCTCCGCCACCCACTCCACGCCGCCTCCTCATCCCTTGTCTCTCCTCCCGCCTGTTCTTCCAGTGACTCCTGTCTCTTCCCAGCCTCGCTCTCCCCGTTGCTCAGCGTGCCACAATTACACACGGGTTTCTTTCCTCTGTCCTTAGCTGGGACACCAGTTCTGACACCACATTGGGAAGAGAAGTCATGTAAAGCCTTAGAGGCTGCTGAGCTTAGGGGTAGATCTGAAACTAGCTGGCTTCTGTGATCCTCACAGATACAAACATGTAAAGATCAAATGCATACTAACCTTGTAGACACCCTATCTGGATGCCAGAAGTAATGGAAAAGAGAAAAAAAATATCTATTCTAAACTAACTGAATCTATCAACTATGTCATGTCCCTGACGTGTTAAATACTGAAAATCTGTGGTGGAGTCTCCTTAGAACTGATTTTGAAGATGCACAGTTTTGCGCTTCTTGACAGTGACTTCTAAGCAGAGTTCCCTGACTTCTGTGTGCAATGGTGACCATCTTTTAAGTCTACATGATGAATATATGTGTCCTGTGGATCAATTTCTTCCATGACCTACAGCCAACAGGCAATACTACTTTTGAGAGTTGTCTACCCCAAAACAAAATGCCATTTTGGCAACAGCTGAAATAATTAGGCATTTTTCAAATTGGAACACTTAAAAAGTCATTGTGAGATCTGACATGGCGAGGAAGGAGGCAAGCCAGAGAGAGCCGGCATGCTAGGATAGAACTCGAGAAAAATCAGCTGGGTCTTCACCTAGAACATGGTAGAGACTTAGAGCAATGAAAGTAATGCTTTTGTTTTCCCTCCTTAGTAATTTAAATATCCCTCCTTGGTCATTTTAATATTCATCAGTGAATGTGTATTAAATATCCTTCAGATCTGACACAGCTCTAAAGAGTCATGGTTAAATAAACAAGACACACCTCACCCTTGCTTGCAACCAGGGAACTTAAGATCTAATATTCACACAAAACAAAATTGTAGGCAGAAAAAAAGAATACTTGTTAGTTGAAAGATGTATCATGAAGGAAGGACCTTAACACTGAGAAAACATCGTGAGAGGAGGAAAAAAAAAAAAGACCTCTCTGAAAAGGCAGCATTTTAAGGATGAAAGATGAAGAAAGGCAAAAAGCCCATGGAGATAAGAACGGGATGGCCGTTCCAGGAAGCTGGCATGCACATGCAAATGCTCTAGAGTAAGAAATCACTTGGAAGCAGGGATCACTGACATCAGTCTGACTAAAATAAGGTGAGTGAAGAGAGGCTGCTATAATGCAGGACTGAACGGATGTCGAATCCACAACACATATACTGCTTCCATGTCAAGGGGAAACCATCAGCACAAGTGGCATGAGCTTCGCCACTACCAACACTGCCTCTGAGTGGAGAAAGACTTCAAAGCAAAGCAAACAAGACGTGACAATGCCCTGGGCAAAACCAGTGCAGCCAAACTGAGAAGTGAACAGTCAGAGTTCAGACGGTGAGCCGACTGGAAGACACTGCAGAACGGCCTGTGTGCAGGGGAAAGCAGAGTAAGGCTTGAAGATGCCTCTGAAGTTAGTATTCATCTGTGAGTTGCTTGGTTCTTTTCCTCTCAAAAAAAAAAAAAAAATACAACTGCTGCAAAATTCCCAGCCAGCGTATGCAGGCATCTCCCCTTCAGGACACAAACAGTGTACATATTTAAGGAATTCAGAAGGCCTAGATTTAAGACATAGACACTCTTGAGAGAGAACAACGAACCATGAGGCATGGATTTCATAGATGTATTTTCTCATAAACATGTCTACACATTGGTGCCTGCCTTTCTGTATTTGGATGCACCCAGGCAGACTTTTAAGAACTATAAGACAATACCCAGTCTACCTGCCTCCAAACTGAACAGCAGGAAAACTGATACCAATTTCTAAGAAGACCTTCACATCGATTTGGATAACTATGGCCAAAACACTCCTGACCACCAGGAGAAAAGGGGATTTAAAAAGTCCTTCCACTAGAGCTTGTCTGACATACACAAGATCCTCAGCTCAACCCATAGCATCACATAAAACAAAGCCTATAGTCCCAGCTCCTCACCGATAGAGACGAGAGAATCAGCAGTTCAGGGTCCTCTTTGGCTAAACAGCAAGCAAGTTCAAAGCCAGCCTGGGCTGAATGAGAACCTAAAATCATTGAACAATTGGTCCATGGCATATCTACATTTGCAGCACCTAGCTTAAGACACAAAGCTGTAAACCCAGGAGGAGATTTCTGAGGGTCCACTCCTGAAACAAATCATATTGCTCATTTTGCATGCTATATTCAAACTGGTCCCCCAAATGCCCCCAGAGTGCAGAAGCACTCCACACACACACTTAGCAAGGTCTGAGCTGCCCATTCTTAATTACCTGAGTGTGACTAGCACCATAGCACCACTTTTATTGCCTTTCCCAAAAAAAAAAAAAAAAGGTGAGATATCATTATCACCTCTAAATTGCTTGGCATTTTTGTTTAGGTGAAACCTCTCCCTCCCAGTTTTCCAGTCCTCCCCCTCCCCCTCCTTCTCCTTCTCCATCTCTTTAATATGGACAGTGATGACACATTTTATTACTTGAAGAATGAGAGATATCTTCAAAAGGTGGAGAAAAGAGAAGGAGAGGGGAAGGAGAGGGGAAGGGGGTGAGGAGAGAAAAGGAATGGAAGGGAGGGGATGGGAGGGGCTGAGAAGGGGAGGAGAGGGGATCTCTCACATATGCTCAGCAGAGGCCCTCTTTGATGCTGGCTGGTATCATGCCAAAATAGACAGTAAATATCAAGAAACTATAGTAATCTATTCAGAATGGGATGTTATCTTTTTTTTTTTTAACCCTTCTAGCTGCTAGTCGTAACCTTTTTATATGCTTTTCAAGGAGCTGGCTTACAAAAGGATACTATCATTTGGGGTGACATATCATGGAGAATCCTTTTAGAAAAAGTTTCCCTAGCATTGCAATAAAATAAACATAGCTTTAGTTACCTGACCTCCACCTCCTCTTCCATCTCACACGTAACTCTACGCTTTTTTCAGTTTAGAAGTCCATTTCCAAGTTCCCCAATCCAGTGGCCCATCTGTGTTGCTCCTCTTGGAGCAGGGCTTGTCTGGCTTCCTAAGCCACCTGCTTTCGTTCCAGTGCTGAGACGAGAAAAGACTCACGGCGCTACGCTTCACGCCCTCTTTAATTTAGTGCTGCGAATTCACGTTTCAACAGCCCTGAGCTCTTCATTCTAATTTGGCCTGTCATCACCTGCCATGACTGAACTTGATCTCTATCTGTGCCACCCATAATGCATTTTATTGCAGGGTCTGGGCTTCTGCAAGAGATGGAGAGCGTACACAGCTCTGCCAACATGAAAGCTGTCACTAAGTCCTCTTCGGGAATCTTCCACAACTGGCATGTGTTCCTCCTGTACAGACTCATTCCAGCCCTAAAGGGTCTCCATATATCAGAGTCTCCCTGCTCAGCAAACACAGAACAGCATAAAGACATACCCAAGTCCACAGTCTATTTATGACTTGAGTCCCAAAGTGCCCTTTGACTTCCTCCCATCCATCTTAACATTTTATACGAGGCATGAAATCCATGACGGCCAAACCTTTCGAGAGTTGTGTCACTCAGTACTCCTCTCTGCCCTGTGCGATGCTACTCTGGTGCTCCATTTTAAATCACTGGCCTGGTCCGAAATCCAGTTAACCATCACCAATGACTGAGATATTTGGGAGATGGACATATACACGCATACACTCTCATCTTAGCCTACTGTCTCCGTAGGACCTATTTCTAAGTAGAATCAATCCAATGATCAGATTTAACTGTCAATGAATGCAGTTAAATAACATATTGTCTGTGAAGCTCTACCCTAGCTCACTTTTCAGGATGAAGGACTGCCATCTGTGCCCACACTTCCTCTTATCTTTTCCCGTCAACTCGGAATCTTCCACTCGAGCTCTTAGACCAATTTGTCAGCACGATAAACACATATCCTCGGACATTACCCATTAAACAGACCACCCAGGTATCCCTGACTCCCTCTACACTGGCCAGGAAGGAGTAAGGCAGAGAGCAGTGCTGAACCGAGAACACTCACTGAGCGGCTTCAGGATGCTACTGCTGGACTCATCTGCATTTTCCACATCAGATTTGTCAGAGTAGTTCTCAGAGATTCTTTCCTTTTCCTTCTTTTCCTTGTGCCCGGCCTTTCTCTTATGGCGTCTCCTTCTCCGGTAGCTCTTGGGCACATGGACCCCAATGTAGATCGTGTGGTGACCTAAGGAAGGTAGACAAATCAACGGTCATTTCAACCCATGATATCTCTACACTTAAGTTACACAGGAACCACAGGCCAGAGAAGTCCAAGAGTGGGACACTATTGCTCCGTATTTAACTAACTCAAAGAATTGAGTTTGTAAAATAAATAAATAAATAAATAAATAAATAAAATTGAATTTCTTTTCAAATTTCACTCTGCTACAGTATAATTCCATCCACAGGCTGGTCTGTGAGGGTGTCCCCACAGGATAAAGTTTAGACCTCAGGTTTATGAAAGTCAAAGAATAGCAAACTGGAAATCAAGAATTCCTGATTCTGGCCACAGGTCTGTCATCGACTATAAAGCTTTCATTATACGTCTCTTGTTTGTTTTTGTTTACTGAGACAGGGTCCCATATAGCCTTGGCTGACCTTAACTTGATGTAGAGCAGAGTATGACCTTGATCTTCTGATCCTGCTGCCTCCATCTCCCAAGTTCTGGGAGTCCAGGAAAGCATCACTACACTTAGTTTATTCTCTGCTTGAACCCAGGGCTTCACATATGCCAGGCAAAATACCCTACCCATTGAGCTCCACTTCCAGCCCCTTACCTCTCAGAGCCTTGGCCTCATCCTTCTGTACAGCAAGTGGCTTAAGTTGGTAACACCTAGAGGTCTGTTCTGATCTAGGTTTTTGAGATCTGTGATTCTACTGACTATGAAGATGGGAGGAACCTGCTGGGTTGCAAAAATAAAGATCAAAAGTTCAAAAAGTTATTCTGCTGGGGATAAGGTTTTATACTATAACTTTTTTTTTTTATCCAATCAGCAGAACAGAGACTGGGAACTGGGGCAAACTGGGAAAAATAACTTTCTCGGGGAGAAGATTTTAGAAGTCCGCAAATGTTCGCACTAGGAAGCGCTAAAGCGAATGTCAGCTCCGCTGTGACTCCCAAGTCTCTTTTCTCATTTCCCGAAGTTTCTAAAGCCTGGTTGTTGCAATGATAAAAATAAGACCCAGCCCAGCAAAAGCTGCCTTAGGAGATAGATGCGGGAAAAAAAAAAAAAAAAAAGCAGGTCTAACTGCTTCCAGGCCTCCTTAGGGGAGGCACCTCGAAACTTACAAGATACCATTTTACAAAAATCTGGTAAGATGGATGAAAAACCCAAGTTCCACATCTTTTTGTGTTGTCGTTTTGTTTTCATTGAAAACCCTTCACTTTCTCTTTACCTACTGTATAACTTCTGAATCTGGAAATCATTGTTTTGGAAGTAATTTGAACATTCTTTTATTCCAAATTAGGTTAGGTTATCTCATCTAAGGTTTCATTTCCCATTTCTAGAATTATCCTTTGATGGTACTTTACAGCTCCAGAGATAATATCACATACTGCCATGTACCTCAGCCACCTGAGTATCAACTGTCATGAACCTACTTTCCACGGAACTCACCAGGCACTCCTACAAAACACCATAATTCACAAGATTTCCCTTTAACTGACAGTATAAATGAATCATATGCTACTTCAAGAAAAAGACTCCAACTATGGAAGAATGAACTCTCTGGGGTAGTGTATCATGGGAAACTGAAACTTGGAAGGGAGTTGGAGCCCTTCCACATGAAGCGGGACCCTACCCCCGGCACACAAAAACAGCAACTTGTGACTACAAAGCACAGTGAACAATCTCCCCACAGGACGTGTGCCAACGAGAAATGTATCATGTCTAACCATCTGCAAGCAAATTGTTCTCATGGGAAAGCTGTATTATACTAGGAAGTAGGAAATGTCTCAGAAACAATGTGAGTTAAGAAACGGTGTCAATTGTTTCCTGTGCCCCCCTTACTAAGGGAGGCCGTGCAGCTTTATCCCATCTCAGCGCAGGTTTATGGATCTCTCTCTCTCTCTCTCTCTCTCTCTCTCTCTCTCTCTCTCTCTCTTTCTCTCTCATGCATGCACACATACACAAGCACACACACACAGAGGGGGGAATTTCAAAGTTCTAAAGTGTCACAGTAAATGTTTCCTGCACATTAATAAATAATAGTCACAGGAAAATGGTAATTAATGTACATTCATGCTGATGTGGTACAATAAGATTTACTGTGTAAACTCAAGTCTGTGTAGTACATTTGACCAAGTCATTTAAAAGAGACTATGTGAGCTGACAGGATTTAAAGTTTTACGTGTGTCTGTGTGTATGTGTGTGTTATTACATATATTGTTACGTATAGAGTATCATTTTCAAACTTATGAAAAAGCTACAGCGTTCAGATAACAAGCCTTCAAGCTCTGCAGTGGGGCGTGCCTTCATTTGAGAGCTTAGTTGGATGGTCATAACTACAAAATGGCACGATTCTGCTCATTCTGGTGACCGTAGCACTGCAGCACTGTCCTACGGCTCGTCCAGCTTCCCTGCATCCCTCCAACTCCTCCTCCCACAGTTCCCTGCTCTGTCCACAGGTGAGGAAGCCTTCGGATTTGATGCCACACGTCAGAGTCCTGTAGCATCTTTCTGGCTGAGAAGATACAGGGGCTCCTTTAGCGATATCCCCAACCTCAGACATTTTACAAGCTTATCGAGGTATCATCTGCAAACTGTAAAATTCACTCCTTGCAATTGTGTAATTCTGGATTTCATGTAGAGCTGTACAACCCTCACCATCGCCCAATGTTAGAGCCTTTCTAGCAATCCATCCCACACACTACACTCAGGCGTTTTATGTACTCATGGTGATGACACCTATGGAGCCCTGAGCCTCTAGTGTTCAACGTTGTAGGTACTCTTACAATATGGTAAAACAGAATATTACCAGTGAGGAAGATGCTGTTTGACAAGAAATGTCCAAGGAATTAAGCCCCTGAGCACAGCGTCCCTTTCCTCCTCTTCCTCCTCTTCCTCCTTTTCTTCCTCCTCCTCTTCTTCCTCTTCCTTCCTCCTCCTTCTCTTCCTCTTCCTCCTCCTCTTCCTCCCCCTCTTTCCCCTCCTTCTCTTCTTCCTCCTCCTCCTCTTCTTCCTCTTCCCTCTTCTTTCTCTTCCTCCCCCTCTTCTCTCCATCCTCCTTCCCATCCTCTTCCTCTTCTTCCTCTTCCTCTCACATCTCACTGGCACCTAAATCTTCCCCTTTGGCCTCATGTAAGTTTACATAAAGAAAAGGAAATGTAAATCTGGGTGCTGTGGACCATTGGGGCCTTATTACTTTAAATATTTATACTCTGCCTCTCCTTCTTTCTCCATTGTCTGTGAAAGGAGGCAAACAGGACAGCCTTGTGTGGCAAGACCCGGCATAGATGGGCAAGTTTTCACACAGGGCTGACCAAATATGTTATTAGCTATATGACCAAGTAACCAAAACACCAACAGTAACATGAGCCAAGATGGAAGTGTTCTCACAGGCCCTACAAAACTCCTATCATCCTGACCAACAGGAGTGGTATGACTGCTGGAAAGAGTCTATTGTTGGTAAGAATATCACAGGTAGATCTCAGTGTTTACTTTCATTAAAATATCTTTATCACTTTCAGAGATATGTCATGAAGATTAATGTGAGCTCTCAGCAGAGCTATAAATGTTGATGGTGCAGCTACTGTTCTGTGTAAAAAGAAAAGAAGGAACAGCTTCCTGACCCCACAAAGGTTTACAAAACTGTAGGATACTCAAAAAATGGGGATCGTTACTAATTTATTATAAGAAAAATGTTAGGCTCAAAAAACTCCTCTATCAATTTCATGAAAATTGCTTCTTAAAAATAAAGGGAAAATAAAGAATAAAACTTCTTTAAATTTAATTTAACTTTTAAAATGTTAACTTAAAGCTTAAATTCAGAAGGAAGATACGACTGTCGAATATATTAACAGCAAGCTTACATGTATGCTAGTCCGACCAATCAAGCCAAAGTGTTGGAGCCTACACTTGACAGTGATCGTTTAGGTATGTAGTCATAGGGCATCAATCTGGCAGGGACATCATGTGTTCAAATAAATACCCTACATGCCTGTCTCTGACAGATGGTGGGAGTTCCCAACATATTCCAAGTATCTCGGGAATACTTCACAATCCACACTACAGCCAGGACTTCTGGGAACACAACACAGCTCTGCTGGCTATCTCTGGATGTCAGAATCATCACTACTGAGTCTTGTCTCCCCCTGTCTTCACCTGTTCCACCCTAGTAGCAAACAGGATACTCTGTGAAGCAGCCACCCACAGGTCTCCCAATTCTTGAGAAATGGCTAACTTAACTGGAATCTTCTGATTATCGCTGTAATGTTTTCAGGGGAAACAGTCTACCCTGACACTTAGCAACTCTGTAGTCATTTAAGTAAAGATGGCTTTTGCAGATACTACTTTCTTAGGATGATTCAGAAGTTGGAAGAATCAAAGGATAACTCAAGCCAGAAAATAAAATATTCACTAGCCAAATGAAAATGTCTATGGATGGTTTGATGGTTAACAACCTATGTCTCTGTAGGCAGGACGGAACTATTAGCTCCTGCCTGGGAAGTATGGTGCACTGTATATGTATAGACACAGCAGCCATGTGCCAAGAGCTTCTAATCATGTTCATTGCTGCTGTGCACTTCTCTGGCACAAGTGATTCTGCTACTAATTTAAGATCCACATGAAGAAACCAAAGTTTGGAAAGTCAGAGATGCTGAAACCAATGAGCAAATACCTTGTTCAGAGCATCCCACAGGAGAATTAGTGCTCAGATATCAATGTGAACATAAGCTGAGTGCCAGCTTTAAGGGAATTTTTAAAAGTACACATTCACAACATTAAGAAGATGGCTTGCTGGGTAAGACGTGGTGGCTACATATTCCTATAAACACCTACTGGGGAGTGGTAAAGCTGGAAACAGGACTATGGCGACTGATGGCCAACCAGACTAGCTAAAAACTATCAAGGTTCAGTAAGAAGCCCTGTCTCAAAGAATACAGTAGGGGGACAGCAAACATCTTCCTCTGGGTACGCACATACACAGACACACACACACACACACGCCCAAGTAAAACACACA